GTAGCTAGATGATGTTAAACTTAGGAAATTAGGTAGATTAATAATTATATATAACTTGGCTACAGCTATAGTTAACAACTTAATAAAGTTTATGATATAACTGTCAAAGAAAAAAAATAAAAATAAAAATATAATATAAATTATACTAAAATCTATTCTATAACAATACAGTTTTTTGGAATTACTTTTAGAATCTTTCTTTTAGATTATCAGATTCTATATTCTTTATATACTTTTTCTCTATTGCTAATACAGCCTTTGTATTTCTTAATTTTTTCCTGTTTTTCTGTATTTTCCTTATTCTCTCAGTGTTCTAGAAGTATACTATCTTCTTTTTTCTTTTGTACTTTTCTTATCTTTCTGATTTTGCTAAGACTATTTTCATAAACAACTTATTTATATCTTCTTTTGTCTAAAGAAATTTTTTTAAACAAGTTTTATATATATAGAGTATTTTCTATACCTATCTTGAATTCATTTGTAAATTCTCTTTTTTCTTTGTATATAAGTATTCATTCTTTAATTTCTTTAAACCATATAGCTTTTTTATCTTTCTTAAATTTCTTTCTAATATTTTTGGGTTGCTACTATATTATTAAATAAGATTCTTCTAGGTTTAAGATTTGCTCTAATAATAGTATATCAAGATTACAAAGATTCTTAGCTACTCTAATAAGAGTTTTCTTTCTTATTAAACTTTTAATTAGTATTCTGTTGAATTCATCTACCTATTCTTTCTTATTAGCTATTATCTCTAAACCTAATTTAGATTAAGCTAGCTAAATTGTTTTTGAATAGTTTCCTCTCATCATCTCTTAGCTTTTCTGAACAAATACTATTTGTATAGCAGGTAATTTGCTATCCCTGCTTTATTCTTATTTCTGTTATATTTTTAATTTCATAATTTTTATTTAGTCTATTTATAAAGCTTAGTGTTTGCTTAGTTTTCAGTACATTCTATAGTATTCATATATTAAGTATTCTACTATGAGATATTACAAAGTTTAGAGCTATTTTTGTAAGACTTATCTTGTTTTTAGCAACTATTATATATGGTTACTAGATCTTTTCATATTCATCTTTAGTTAAAAAGATGTTTTGCAGTATATATTCTAACTTTAGCATTAGACAAACATTATTTATATATAATACTTGGCTTATAGAGACTATCTTTTTTCTAATTGTATTAGCAAAAAGTCTTACTACTTGCTTAGCTTTAGCTACTATCTGCTTCTTATCAACTTTTTGTTCTATTTAGATTCCTAAGAATCTTACTACTTCTTTTTTTTTTATTGCATAGACTTCTTGTCTCTCTACTACTATTTTGTATTAGTTTATATTATTCTTAGTATTTATTGCAATAAGCTTCAATTTGAAAAGATTAATCTAAATATTATTAATCGTAAAAAACTCTTCTGCGATTTGAACTATTTCTTCAAGCTACTTTTTAGTACTTGCTATCTATGTTATGTTATCTGCAAAAGCTACTATAGCTTGTCTTGTTCTCTAAATCTTTTTTTTTCTCTTTTTCAAGATTTTCTTTCTAGAAGAGCTTTATTTTATATTTGAGTATAATACTTTTCTTAATTCTTGTTAGCAAAGAATTGTAAAAGATCCTTCAAATTAGAAGCAAAATTACTTCTCCTTGCTTTATTCTATCTTCTACTATTATTGATTCAATGAGACCTAATGCAGTAATTATTCTAGTTTGTCTCTTATCAAACAAATTTAGAATAAAGTTTTGTCCTATCATCAGCAACCTTATTCTTTAAAATGCTAATTTTAGAGATTTTAAGCTAACTAAGTTGAATACTTTTTTCATATCTTGTAATAATATCTAAAGCTTCTTATTTTTTTCTCTAGTTTCTTCTATTATCATACTTAAAATATAAATTAGACTTTCTGTTGAACTTCCTATTAATTCTGCAAAGTTTGGCCCTTCAAGAATATTGTTTTTTTTCTTATTATTCTTTCTAATTAAGTTATATAGACTTTAGTAACTTACTTTCAAAATATTTCTAAAAGTGCTATTAGTCTTATATTATTTAAATTAAATTGCCAATTTACTTCTTTAGGTATAGGGTACATTTGACTAATTTTCTATTTTAGTAAGATTCTGCTTGTTTTTAAATACAAACTAGCAAAGTTTCTAAAAGCTATCTGTATCTTTATACTAGCCTGCTTAATCAGAATATATCCAATACCTGATATATCTAGTACTGTATTTGTTTTAAGCTTTTAGAATATTGAATTCTACTTTTCTTTCATTATTCTACTGTTTAAGTCTTTATATTAGCTTTTTTTGATTCTTGTTAGCAATATATAAACTTCTTTTTAGCTTTTTAAGAGATTTTCTTATTAGAAACTTCTTTTTTTGAACTGTCTTTAGAAATGGTCAGCTGTTCTTTCAAGAACTTCTTTAGATTTATTAAAGAGTTCTTTAACCTCTCCTTTGTCTATAAGTAGTTTGTCAATTACAACTTTTTTAAAAGGCTTTTCTAGCAGACTATTAATCATTCTTCTTTAATTATCTCTAATTATTTCATATCTTTGGTCTATACATTCATTTATTTCTAATTTGCTAGCTATAGTATTTTCTGCTACTAATCTGCCTTTTAATATTGACTACTATTTAGAGATCTCTTCTTATAATTGCTTACTCTACAAAGTCTCTAATATTATTATATTTAACTCTATTTTCTTATTTATTTCCTCTATCTTTTACTCAATTTCTAGTTGATCATTTTCTGTTCTTCATATTCATATTTTCTTTTTGCATCTTTTTACTAATTTTTTTATTGTGTTTATTGCATTTCAATTCCGAATAAATCTTTTTTAGAGCTTTGTTGTAGCCTGAGTTTAGTACCTTTTTGCATAAGATTTTATCCTCTGCTACTTATTTGATACTGTTACTTATAATGTCTCACTCTTTGTTCAGATTTATACTATCTATAAATCCTTCATTACTCTCTTCAATTTGTTCTTCTATTCATAGCTTTTGGTTTAATTTTTTCTTAAGTAGGTACTGTAACTTGTTTTTGTAATCATTCTAATTTTCTTCTGTTACTTTATCATATAAGAAAATTGTTCTTTTAATTTTTTTTTTTTGGTTTATGCTAAACTATCTTTGAAGTCTAGATAATCTAGTAGTATTTTTGCTTCTACTAGTTTGTAGATACTATCTGTTTATAAAGTTATTTCTTCAATTATAGCTTCTTTAAGACTAAAAATTAGACTTTTTAAAATTTAGATCTGGTTAATTTGTGTACTATCTGTTCTATTACTCTATAAGAATTCTCTTTTATTCAAATGTAATTCTTTAAATATATCAACAAAGTTCTGTTTTACTATCTAGTCATGTAATAATAGTTTTTTGTAATTGCTATTTGTTCTACTACTTCTATTGATACTTAGCTATATAATATGATTAAAGTTACTCATTATAATAAAATACATATTTGGTCTTTTCTAAGCTATTTATTTCATTATTATTCTCTATACTTCTTTTCTTTTTAGTTGAATATTTTGTGCTATATATACAATAAAAACAACTAGTTCTAATTGCTTGAAAAAAAAATATACCTCTAGCAAATAGCTACTATATTTTCTAATTTGTTTTATATGATTTAATCATATTTTGCTTAATATTATACCTACTCCTGAATCCTTGCTTTTACTTTTTTTTGCATTAGTTCAGAAGCTATTTATATTTTCTTGATGACTAGTTATGAAATAGCTTTCTCTTTCTAAAATATTTGTTTTTATTATTTCTACTATGGTACTGAAAGCCTTAACTCGCCAGTTACGTGACCTTGTTTCAAATTCGTATATGCAGTGTAACATACAAATAGCCAATCATATTGCATCATTTGATTGGTTCTGATTGAATGCTATATATACTTCTTCTAATTGGATATTATTTTTAGTCTATTAAAATTACCCAAATTACGAATTTACTAATTTACCCCACCACTTCTCATTAGCTATGCTAATTATTCGCTTAGCAGAGTATTTATTTTATTAATCAATTTTTTTTACTCTGATAGTAAAGTAGGGCACCTGAAAATTACAACTTAACCAAAAATATTTTATTGCGAAGTTTCATTTTTCAACTATATAAATACAGAAATACAACCGTAAGTAATTGACAATATTATGCTCTTTCGATATTCGCACTAGTTTTAGTTTTAAAATATAATCAATACATAGGTCAAATATAAACCGGTAATAAATTTGTAAAACCAGCACATAAAGTACGTAAGTATATACATACGTACCAGATATGTTTTTTTGGTGCTATAAGTATTCAGTAAATTGATCATAGCTATATAATACTCACATCAACCTTATATATGTATGCATATATGCATATACATACATAAGCTAATTCTGTCTTGTCAATAGTGCTCCTATCGGTATAATTCACAATTTTTTTGGTTATGATTGTTTATGTTCAAATTTTTTTTTTTGATTAATTTATATCATATAAAAAAACGCAATGATTTAAAAAAAAAAAACTTTCTTGGCATAATTACTATATAGAATAGTTAAATATACACTGAGGCTTTCATTGCAGAACCAAAGTATGATTAGTAATTAATGATAAAAAGAGTCTTTGACATTGCAAATAGAATAATGACAAAGAACTGGAAGCACTTCAGGCTGCCGTTCATTTATAAGAAAATATAACTGATTGGTGAATGTCCTTCTTTGTCTGTTTTCATAGCACCCCGAACAAAAAAGCAAAAGCAAATAAGTAATTTGCCAAGAGAGAAAGGCCGCTATCTTAACCAAAAGAACCAAATTTTTATGGAGTCACTAAATATAACCACAATTGAATCACAAGAAGAATGAACAGAAAATGAACTAGTAGAATTCGAGGGAGTAGGAATAAGGCTTATCAATGAAATTCTCAGATGGCATAAGGATGCTGCAAAATACCTTAGAACAGTATACACTGGAACCTCAAGAATGACAACGTGGAGACAAAAAAAAAATGAATGAATGATGAAGAGAATACAAAAGGAATCAAAAAACTTGAGACATTTTTTCAACCGAGTTCATTAACAACTTCTTGTCAAGAATCTTACACTTCAGCATCCTTATCATTATGCCCCTCTTCAATTATTATACCAGATTCATCTTTGTTATCAACTGAAAATTTACGTATCTGTTTGGAAGAACTTAACCAATGATGTTTAATAAAAAAATTTGTGAAGGAGAACAGTAAAATCTTTACATATGATTATTTACATTTTCTAAGTATACATCGATATATACAATTATTGTTAGAAGGACAAGGTAAAATGGATGCTGCTGACTAAATTGCACGTTTTATATGGAATAAAGGGGGTTATATGGCTAAATGCATTCGGATATGGGGAAATTATTTTATAAAGATAGGAGAGCTTCTTCCTTACTGCCAAAGTAAACATACCAAACTCGAAAGCTTAATTGATGACGAGGATTTTAGTGAAGATTGTATAGAGTAGTTAAGGCAACAAAAACTGGAAGTATGTACGCCTAGTAATTTGAAAGCATATATTAAGGATACACTATTTCCAAAATTGATTGGTCATATCAAAGAAGACACTATATCAGAGAGGACGTGTAGAAATTATATGTATTCATGGGGTTTTAAATATGATGAGAGAAGAAAGTGTATTTTCTTTGACAGTCATGAGAGACCAGATATGGTGGTGTATAGGAACGAATGGTTAAAGAGAATATTCGTATATAAAAAAAACATGAAAGATTTTGTTAGTGAGTTGTTAGAATTTGTATTAGAACCATAGCTCAATTTAGAGGAGAAAGAATACGTTCAAATAACACATGATGAGTGTTATTTCTATACTAACGATGAGTGGCGACGAATTTGGATTCAGAAAGGCGAAAATATTTTGCACCCAAAACATCTGAGACATTCTATAATAGTCTCTGCTTTTTTGTGCCCTTGTTATGGACTATTACGCCTAACTGACCAACAGCTATATGAAAATCTGTATATTAAAGATAAAGAAACATTTGTGATTCGTTCTGTTCAGGTAGATGGATATTGGAAAGCAGAGCATATGCTTGAACAGCTTGTAAATAAAGTAATCCCAGTATTTGAAATATTGCATTTTGGGTGTATTGGTATATTTTGCTTCGATCAATCTACTAATCATAATGCTATAGCAGAGGATGCACTAATCACAAAAAGAATGAACTTGAGTTCTGGAAAGAAACAACTAGTGATGCGAAATGGTTAGTTTATTGATAAAACCAGAAAAAAATGTGTGCAACTAATAGTATTTCTGAATGATTATCAAAAGGAGGAGTTAAGAGACAAGCAAAAAGGTTTGAGGCAAGTGCTTGAAGAGCGAAAACTCTGGCCTGCAGAAAAGGTTCTGCTAGTATGTGAAAAATGTTCTGGAAAATGTACTGATAATAGCCCAGAAAAGTTGGATTGCTGCGCACAAAGAATCATGTCATTGCAGCTCGATTTTCTTGAACAACGGTCCCTGTTAGAAGAAGCTATAATTAATGCAGGACACATTTTTGAATGCTATCCAAAGTTTCATTGCGAGTATAACTTTATCGAATGATATTAGGGTTTTACAAAACAAGAAGCAAGAAGATTATGTAATTATAATTATAAGGATTTAGTAAATCTTGTTCCAGAAGTTCTTAAGAGTGTTTTTGTAACACTATTCACAAATTTTCTCGTAAATTATGGAGATATATGGATATATATGATAAAGGGCTAAAAGGTGTAGCTGCTGAGTGGGCTGTTAATCAGTATAAATCACATCGTCGAATCCCGAAGAATATTGAGCAAATGATGGAATGAATGAATAAAGGCATAATCATAATAATAATAAATTTTAACCTTTATTGTAAGTAATTACTATGTTTATAGTTTTATTATTTAATTTCGCTATGACAATATTTTTATTAACTAAACACACTTTACATGAAAATTTATTCAGGCAAGTAAGTTTTATCATTACAACCAATTCTGTAAACCTCAAATTAAAATTAAAATTTATTCTTTTTATGTTACCCCAATACGTATTTATAATTTATAATTAATAGTTTACAGTATCCTAAATAGGTCAGTATAGGTGATTTGATTAGACTACGTATCAAATTTTTTGGGATTTAATGTTTTATAATGGATACCCAAACTTGAAGCGCAAAAATTAATTAGACGAATCTATTGTTTTATAACAGATAACTGAACTGGAACTGGAAATACAAGATTAACTGATGATTATACTTTTTTTGTACGTAAGTTTAATTAGTTCAACTGTGTATTCTTTGCAGAATCAATCTAACATTTTGTATGATTTAAAAATAGTCATATAGAAATTCATAGTTTTATAATGATTTGCATTAAAAATAAACTGCATATCATTGCTGCTTTTTTGGTGCAAATATTGTTAGGTATAAAATTAGAAGGTGTATACATATAATAAAATTTCATATTTTTGTTAGGACGCAAAAGGCAATCTTATAGGCAAACTTTTGAGTTACAGACGATTTTAAAAAAAATTATTCCATATTAACCTGATCTGTGATTTAATTGTTAAAAATTACAGAATTATAAATTTTTATATAATATGGGGTTAAATTTGCGAAGCTTTAATTAAGTAAATGTATATAATTAAAGCATATAATATGATTGGTTAAAATAAATCATATGATCAAATACTGCGATTTTATTGGTTAAATTTATGTTTATTATATGTTTCAATTTAGTTAAAACATAATCAAATACTTTAATTTTAAATGCTTATAACTTTTTATATAAGGCTTATTTAAAAAAACTAACCAGTAATTTGATAGAGAATATTATAAAAAAACAAAGTTACCAGTTTAGTTTTTTAAAATTTTATTTGTATAAAGTATTAATAGATTTTAAAATATATATAATTTACTGGCGAGTTAAGGCTTCTGGCACCATATATTATTTTTTTATTTTTTTTTTTTTTACTTAGGTGATCTTGCCTATTATTTTATTAAGAATAAACTAACTTAAGCTACAAGTAAAATGCTATACTATTTACAGCAAACTACTTTTCTAAAACTAATCTGAACTCACTCAGTTACTTTTCAGCACCTAAGTGTGATCTGCTGCAGCAACTATTTCTCTCGTAAGAGTTTAAATTTGTATATACAAATTTCTAGCTCTTAGTTAACGAGAGGCTGCTACTAGTCTATATCAAAATCACCTAATTTGTTTTAAACCTTAACCATCCTTCCTTATCATCTAACCTTATCTATCTATCAACTCTGTCAGAAGCTACTTTTTGGATTTTTGTTTTTTTTCTCCTTCTTTGATTCTTTTGTTTCATTTATAGGAGATATATTCTCTTTATTCATTTTTCCTTTTCTTCTTGTCTTTTTTCTTTTTTTCTCTTTGGTTGTGATGTTGTGCTCTTTTTCTCATTCAACTATTATTTCACATCTGAATTTCCATAATCGTTCATAGAAACAAGACCAGAATTGTTCGATAAAAATTATTAGTACCCTGTTTGCCTTGCTTTTGAACTGCACTATCTTGCAAATATCTGCATGTTGCTTCTTATTTGTGAAGCCTCTGAGATGCATCTTTCTGATTTGCATCTTCTCTTCTGAGTCTTTGCTATAGAGTACCTTTCTCAATACATCATCCTCAAGTGATAGATCCAACTTTGTTAACACTTCGAGACTTGTTAGATATAGAGTTTCCTCTTCTAGGTTTTTCTATAATCTTTAGTAGATTTCGCATTCTGCTAGGTGATACAAGGTTTTGTCTTTTTTTAAGCAGGCTATGCATCTTCTGCTCTTGTATAATTTGGGATTTCTCAAAAAGCAAATATCTTTTGTTGGTAGGATATCATTAATACATTTTATGTAAAATATAAGGTTTCTGCTTTTCTTTAGACTAATGCATTTTTTTTTCCCTTGTCACTTCTTTAGTGCTTCCCAAGTATTTTCCAAATTGGCTCTTTGCTAGAGTTATCTCCTTGATTCAGGGCTATTATGTCTGCTGCTTTGCTTAGTTCAGCTCATTCTGTTTCATATATTATCGCAGTTGTTATGTTTATGAATATCTTAAGTGAGCAGTCTATTATTTGGTCCTTCAACTTTGGTATAGCTCGCATATTATCTAGAGTTGTTTCTAATACTTCGAGTATATCAGTTCTTTTAGTACCTTTCTTAGCTAAGTAATCTGCCTGCTCATTCCATTTGTCACCACTATGACCTTTGATTTTGTGTAATGACAAGTTTAGACTTTTTGCTATGCAGCAATCTTTTATCTGTCTCAGCAAACTTCTGTTTTTCATTTTAAACTAACTTCTTAACTTGTTTTCATCTATGCACTTTTCAATAGCTTCTATTGCTGCTTTGCTATCAGTAAATATATATACTTGAGCCCTAAATAGTGCTGTTAGCAAAGCTACCTATATAGCTTCTAATTCTGCATGAGTTGATGAAGGCTAGTTTTCTATACCACAACTAAAGCTAATACTACCATCTATTCTCTCACTATTTTTGACTAACCAACTAGCTCCTATTCTGCCTGATTCTAACTCTCTGCTACTTCCTGCTAATACACCATCGGTATAATACCTAATAACTTCCTCTTCTTTTAGCTTTTCATGTACATCTACTAGCTCTCTCTCGATCCTTTTGTTTTCTACTACTCTTTGTATAATTGCACTTTCAAGGCTATTTGCTGTA